GAAACGAAATATTGAATGGCAATTTCAATTGCGGGCTTTACAACTACGAGAGCGGCAGCAATTGTACGTCCGCCACGGACAGCAAAAGTAGTTGCTACGCCACTGTATCCACGCCAACTATACCCCCATTTGTTTACGCAGCTATTGTGTCAAACGAGGGATCATCCGAACAATCAAGACAGTATCCAAGTCGTACTGGACAGCTATTCGGGCCTTTCTGGCACGCAAATTAAATTGGGCTTGCTGTAGGAATGGTTGCTTTTAAATCTAAAGTACAGCTTCCGAACCGGCTGATGTGGGTTCCGAACTTGACAGACCAACTTCCAATCGGGTAACGAATTAACGCGCCAGTGCACTCAAATACAGCGGACAAACATCGCACAGAGACGGTTTCTATTAAACACGCGATTCATTCGTTCAGCTTCAGTGACGACATCTTGTCTGGCAATGGACGTGTTTGCGAACTCGCATCTATCAGTTCCTCTCACTCTTGGAAAAGCCTGACATGACGTGCGCAGTAATTTCTTATTCACTACTATTCAACTATCCACACTGATATCCCATACTGTGATATATCTGACGTTTGCTTCACCCGGCAAGCTCACTTGGTCCTACAAAGCGCTTTCCAAACATCCTAGTTTTTCCAACGAAGAAACTCTATCTACATTATCTCAGGCTGATCATGTAAGAGTGCGGCGCAGCGAATACCAGCACGAAAAGGACCATAAGTCGAACATATCACTCGGGCATGGCTCATTGGAAGCCAGTCCCGCGTCACTCCCTTGCGCTAGACATCATATATCGCTTCAACCCCCGAACGAACACACAAACGTACGTATGTGCAAACATATTTTGAAAACACTGTGAATACTCACACGTCCCTACGCACCGCCAGTGACGTGCTATACAACCAGATACGTAAAAAATAGGCCAGCAACGTGATCAAAACATGTCATTTTTTTCTAGACAATTAGGAAAATGTACACGCATATGTGGAATAGCATTACGACATTCCACAACGTTGATATCCTTGGTGGCTGCTCTGGCAATGCGTTCAAGGAACTACAACCTTCATTCTATCTGCGTCATGCGTTTCTGGGGATCCCCGGCCAGAAGTTCCTTGTAGTGCGCTCACATCTCATTCTTCACTCTGGCCTTCACCACCTGCCAAACATTCTCGATCGGATTGAGGAACGGAGAGTATGGGCTCAATCTCAGTATGGTTACTCCATGGTATCCATCTACTGACGACAGTTCTTCCAGTCCTGTGTGACATGGTGCATTATCACATATCACGACCACCTGCCGGAGCTCCATCTCCTGTTTCAGGTTGTCTAAATAGCTTCGCAGCCATTCTAGAGAGAGGCGACTTGTGGATGAGCCTCTCCAGGTGGTCATCGACACTTTCCCTTTCATCGTGAGTGCACCGATTAAACGCAAATTGTGGCCTCTGCTGTTGGCAACTTTGCAACAGGCCCTCATTCCTCTGGGTGCCCGACCACGAGTACGTTTGCAGTAAACATTGAAGTTCGCTTCGTCAATCCAAATGAAGAACTTGCCATCGTGCTCAAGTCGGAGAAACTGCTGAACGAATTCCCTGCGTATCCCTTTGGTTTGCTCATTGTTCATTCCCTCGGGAACCTGACAGATGTTCTCCATAGTTCTCAATCGACCATCTAGTTGCCATGCGATTGTTGACTTCGAAATTTCCTCGTCCATTTCTGCTCGTACTCGTACTCGCAATTCCCGTAGCGTAAGCGTTGAGTCCCTTGCGATCCAATCCATGATGTCATCTACGTCTTCCACCGACAAAATCCGCTTACGACCGCGCGCCTGCGTAGTACTCGGCTCCTGATCAAGGGAACGACGGATCTAGGAGTAGGCTGTTTGATATTTGACCTTGTTCACAGTTACCACCAGCTGCCAGTCATCACCGTTGACGAAAGAGCTCAAAACTCGGTCACGAATGTCTGATGAGGTACTCTGGCGAACGCGAGAAGGCATACCGACGACGTTAGTATCATAGACATGGTTTCGGTCGTGCGCTTATGTTCCAGCTGTTCATTGCGCTCAGACCAATTGTGATCCATCGTTTCGGACGTGAGGGGGCACATACAAGCCCGCTGCACCGTCGAAGTGCATGCCCCTAATGTTCATTCACATGTCTCACCCAGTCAACGGGCAGCGCCATCATCTCCCCAGACTAACGCGCCTAACCTTGGCATCCGGCCAATGAGAACACATTTAAGGTCAGAGGATTGGCTCTGAGCGAATCGCACAGGGTTTTGATACATTTTGAAATTAGTTTGCAAAATTTTGGATTTTGGTTGCAAAAATTGTGCTCCTTCTTTGCAAAAGTTTGGACCTTTATGCATCTTTGCGTGAAATGGTGTAGAATATCTGCTAATGTACTCGAATTATTGGACTACATCTAGCCGACCCCAAGCTGGGGTCAGGAACTTGGTATGTCCCTGCCAATCTTGGAGAAAGACTTGGCATTTCATGTGAGCAATGCATATCCCGAAACGACTGACAGCTGTTGCTAACCTGGCCAGTGTTTTTTGGCCGTTTGTGCGCCATCACTTATGAGAACAAAGTTGTCAGTCTACTCCAAGTCAAAAAATCGCCCACCAGGAAGCAACTCCACACCTTGTCAATCGCGTTCAGCGTAAGCTGTTTCCATGACTTTGTCAGCAACTAAGTTAAAGAGGAAAGGTGACAACGGGTAACTTTTTCCACATCGCTGGAGGACGGCGACAGTTTGTCCCAAACCAATAATCTGCCCGGACAGTGCGCGTACAGCGCTCTGATAATGTGGACTTATTGTTCAGGCACATCTTTCCTGAGCAGAAAGTCCCAAAAGGCATATTTATCAACCGAACAGAAGGCACCTTCGATGTCGATAAACAGCACTACGGTGGGTCGCCAATAAATATGGCAGTGCTCCAACAATTGAGGTAAAGTAAGGATGTCGTCGATGCAGTCTCAATTTCGACAAAACCTGGCTTGCTCCTCGCGGATCTGACTTTCCTGAGTGCCAGTCAGTCTGTGGAGAATGATAGACGCAAGCACTTTAGTGGCAATCGTGATCGGACTACTCTCTCTATGCTTGCTGAATTCCGAACCAGAGTCTCCCTTGGAAATTGGGACTATAATAATAAATAAATAATGTGTCACCTGTACGCCATAAGGGCGCTTCGCTGCCGTGCGACCACCACCAGTCGTGCGCGGGCTGAGTATACCGCGAGGACGCCCACCGCTACGCGGATTCGAACCCGCGCCGCAAGATTACGAGACAAGCCCGTTACCTTTAGGCTACGGAACTATAACGGGGAGGCTTCAGCCTGTTGGGACAATTTCTTGCTCCCACAGTTTCACCACTGACTCATGTAAATCATCAACAAGGGCAGGTCAGCTGAATTTGTAAAGGGCTAGGGGAATTTTATCTGCCGCTTCGACCTTACTCAATTTCAAAAATCTGATCTCACGTTCGATTACTGCGCGTGAGGGTCGATCCACGGTGATGACGCAGGAAGTAGAGAGATCATTGGACGGTGGAGAAGCCGACAACTATGACTAATTGAAGTGCTTCTCAAAGTGCTGGGACGTACCAAGTAATCTATCGTGGTTACATGGGAACGCTAAGTACCATTCTCGGAAATCGGGGATGCATTACATGGCTACGCCTGGAAATAATCCGATAATGAATGTCCCACTTCGCTGTCATGCAACCACTAGCACATGCATGTGGCTGTGATACCGTGCAGGTACTTGCAGCTGTGCTGCTTCAAACCAGTGACATGTGGGTCACAGACTAGCTGCAGAAAATATATGGAACCTGGAAGTAGTTATGAGGAGCTAGATCGCATGCATGCGATGGTAGTTGTTAGTGTGTGATTTCGGCAAGATAGTAGAGAATAAACGGCCGTTAGTCGAAGTTGGGTAGCAGACCCATGCCGCCTTGCTGGACCCCTTGTTGAGCTTGAGCACACCACACTGGTTGTGTTATGCGCAGCATTTAGCTGTCAAGTGTCTTCCTTGACGTGCGTTTACTGACAATGCTACGCCCTTTAGGTGACATTGTGAGATGATTTTCGAGTATTTGGCACACAGTAATGAAGATACAGAAAGGAAAACGGAATCGCTTTAGGGAGTTGCTCCCTTAGATGAACAATGAGCGTTAGCTTATTGTTAGTCAGCCGAAGTCATACGCTGCGCACTACGCTTCCTGTAGCCAGATCCTGATTCAGTATATTTTCGGCAAATGTAGTCCAAGTATATAAATATCTGCCTGTTTCAAGCACAAATTAATTTTGACCAAATATTAGCTAACAGTTAGTAACAGATGGGGAACCCCATGAGTATGTTGCGTTAGTTTAAAGCGCTCGTTGTGTGAATGTGTAGTGACAGGCAATCGTAAACTGAGCAGTTCATTCAGTTGAAGTGAATTAGATCAGTCTGAGCACTAAAACAGGTAGACATCGGAGATTGCAAAGGAGCAGCCCTAAACACTTAACTCTGGGAATACTTCGAGCTGCATGAACAAGCTGTAGTGGCCTGAAAATACTTGGTTCCATTTTAAAGAGTACACTACCGCCAAATCCCACCAACTTTACTAAAATATTAACAGCATACTCTATTCCTCCCAAGACTAGTCCACGTCAGTAAAGCCTTGCGGTGCACCAAAAGATAACTCTCATCTTTTACGCACAATTTTGTCGCTGACCCATTGTGCAACACGCGTTTTTGTTTTACTGCTCATTACCTTCCATCACTTTCTGCTCTCCCTCGTCTACTCTGTGAGTAACTGTGCTAACACTTCCTTCTGTCTAGATAGATCCATCCACGTCTTTTGTAGCCCGTCGAATATAGTCCGCTGTGTTCGATTTTATTTGCCTTCGGATATCCGCATTTGATTCTGTGCACCGTCTCGGGCTAGTCCTAGGCTGCACTACACAGCGTGAGGTAGAAAAAGCAAGTGGTTAGCAAAAAGCACGTACTTCTGCAATGCTTGTTCCAACACGGGTGTTCCATAATCCGATTGTAAATTGAGTATATCTATAAAAAAGGAATGGCGGAAAGGGAGATCGACGCAATGCATTAACGCTAGATTTTTGTTGGTGCACTAAGCACGAAAAGAAGGTAGACGTGTGCTAAACCCAAGAAGCTGTAACACTATTTCACTAATCAATTTTGCCACCAGTAGGCACACAAAAGAACGCAAATATTGAACCGGATGGCGAAGTTGTACTTTTGCTTCAAATGATAGATATGTAGAAATGTAAATAAGTCCCGGAAGAACTGACAGACTGCAGGCATCTGAAGAGGAGAAACGTGTCATTGGTCTACTTATAAACGATAACTTCTAAGCTTAAGTGATTGAAATCACAAATAGACTCGATTAATTTGCTTGAGATAACAAGCATAGCCTTGGACCACCGGTTAATACTTTTGGGGTGAATCAGTGTTACGCGGTTCCGCGACGCAGTGATGAACCGAAAACACTAACCATGCCAACAGGCCAAGGTCAATGGTAACTGATGGTTATTTGGTCAATTAACGTCCCGGTTGACCAGATGATGTAAGTCTCTAGGTGACGCGTGGGCACTAGAATCACTGAACTTTTGTGATTAAGAGGAATTGGCCGAAGCAGGCAATGGTCGTTGTTTGTTCTAAGAATACTCCGGCCATGCTGACCACTGAGTTTGCGTTTGTTAACTTAAAGTCTGCTGACCTGTATGTTTGGTTCTCCAGCAAATAACCCAATGTCCGGGAGGCGCTGTTTCAGGGAAGATTGGTTAGTTGACAAAATAATCCAGCTTTGACTGAATCTGTGCCGCAGCCTGAGGCAGCGTGTGCTGCTACAGAGTATAAACAATATCCGATGGGTCCGCGGCTTGAGAATCTAAGTGGGGGTTCCAGTGGAATCTCGAGGATTTGGTTGTTAACAAGGATCCATTCTAATAAGGAGGCCACAGTACATCTGCATAAAAGTAATCCACGCGCCAGCATGACAACGGCTTCCACAGTCGACTCGGTAGATAGTGGCAATGCAGAAATACCTGCGAAACTCTCAAACAGTGAAACGACTTGTGGCGTTGCGCTAGAGTACCGTGAGGCGGCAAATGCCAATGGCAGTAGTTTCTAGAGTGCGAGCAAGGACTGCCTGTGATTTCATCCGCATCAGCATCCGAACGATGAAGGCAGCCTGTTTGAATTTAAAACGCAGCACTAGGAAATACTTGTCAAGGTTCTTGAGTGAATTATCCTAGAATCTAAACACTTGATCCATGGGGCGAGAATTGTCGCTCAAGGTAGTACGGTGTTTTGAAGTTGGAAGCAGAGAAAGGATTGCGAAGATGGGGGATTGAACAAACGTGAAACAAAACGCTTGCACAGTGGCTCGGTAGAGTGTGAGATATCCGAACCGGAAACCAGAACATCGGCCGAGGTTAGCAAAGACATAGAGAAAGTAGTGTGAGTAGAAAACCGTTGGAACTTAGGTTCATAGGCGTCGCAGAACTCAGTCTTTTAGGGACAAACAATTTATTCTGCAAGGCGAGCTCAGCAAAACTGACATGACAAGCGTGTAGGAACCTCGATGTAAATAATAATAATAATTTCCATAAATATCGACGATGCTGCACTCATGAGATTCATCCTTTGAATCAGCTGAACAAACTCGCTTCAGCGAACCAATCAGCGCGTAGATGTCCCATCAATGCTTCGTTCGCTTGCAGCACGCTAGCCGGTTGCTTCGCCATGTAAATCGTATAGTACTTCTGCTTGCATAACCTATCGTATCCTTCCTTTTTTCGGGATCAGTTGCATCGGTGTCGCTGAAGACTTCCTATGCTCTTCCGCTCCTCGTCGTCCTTGCTGCCTCTGCAGTTGTGACCACTTGGTAAGGCGTCAAGTGCTTTGCTGCAGGTTCACCTTCAGATTCCCGGTATCGCCTAAGCTGCATCTGGTTCCTTCTGATCACTGTCCCTCCGGTACTGACTTCATGAGGTTTTTCTCCAACCATCGCGGTCACTAGATCTTGCGTCCATTGTTCGCTGAGACGCGGTATTGCTCGGATCCACGCTTCATCATACACTGATAGCTCCGGTAACGCAAGGGTCCCACGATCGTAATACCGTTCCTGATCTTCCCTCCGTTTACTTAAGCCCATTTGCAGTTACTCATGCAATGGCAAGACAGGGCAAAAGTTCAGCAGACGCAGGCATTAGGATTCTTGTCCCACTGCAGTAGAAACATTGCACTGGACTGAGACCGGTGTTCTGTAATGGCGTATTACGAATCTCCAACAGCATTACACATGAGTGGCTCTGGCCTCCGACAACAGCTTATTGGCTTGTTTGATGACTGACTCCGCTTGTCCGTTAGACTGACTGTGATACGGGCTTGTTACTCGATGCGAAAATTCCCACTTGTTCTCGAAAGTCTTGGAGGAAAAACTTGTAAATTGCGGGCCACGGTCGGAGATCAGTTCCCCCGGTATTCCGTGTCTGGTGAACTGACATCTAAGCTTGTTGATGACTACTTCCGTGGTGGTAACAGTGAGCTAATTTATCTCAAAATACCGAACCGTTGCTCTGCCAACTGAGCTACCGAGGACTGACGGTCGGGTGCGCAATGTAATACATGACTTCTGCTTGGTTCGCGACGTATTGCCAATAAGCTCACAGTATCTGTCCTGATGTTGCAGATTGGCTCACTTACTCGTCACTTCCCAATGAACCGAAGTATCTGTCCTTCAGATGTTCAAAGGGCGATGGTAAATTTAGATTATTGGTGGTTTTGTGAGTAGTGTAATTTTTGAAGAAAGTAGAAGCCACGACTAAACTTTGCACAATAATCCCCGTCGAGGCAGATTATTGTGCAGTTTAATTGTGGCTTCTACTTTCTACAAAAAGTACACTACTCACAAAACCAACAGTGATCTGGAAATAGTCACTGTTGTGGTCCACTGTGCTTAAGTAGTCTCTCAAGTTGTCCCGGAACAAGTCAACTAGTACTTTCTGTTAAAGTCGATCTGGAATCTCGTGCAGCAGCATTGGTTCTCTGGCTTGGCTAGCCTCGTGCGAACGCCAGGCTGAACAGTTTGATACATGGTCACGGATTTGACTTGTCATCCCGGAGCAGAACATCTGATCGCGTGCTCTGCAAATGCTGTAGTTGACACCCAAATGGACTCGATGAGCGTGTTCTAGCAGTTGGTTATGAAGAGGCGGTGGGAGCGAAATGAGGTTTTATTCACACAGCAAATCGTCATACACCGTGAATTCATCCCGAAAGTTGAAGAATGGCGTTCATGCCTTAGGACGTTTGTCCTTTGTAACTGGCCATCCTCTAACAATCGCTCCGCGTAACGACGCGCACGTCGCGTCTGCCTCCGTATGACGCCTTATTTCTTTCAAGCGATCTTCCGTTACCGCCAGATGTTGTATGAGATTGACTGCCTTGATTTCTTCCTGTCGCTGTTCGACCATCGGAAGATGAGCTGTCGACAGAGCGTTCGCGCTGAACAGTTGCGTCCCCAGAGTCTACACAAGATCCATGTCGTATTTCCGCAGTCGGATAAGTATATTTTGAAGACGTCGAGGGACACTGTGTAACGGCCTAGTAGCTATTACCACGGGCGGTTTATGGTCAGTATACACTGTAGTCTACCTTCCATAGGTGTTGTAGTCATGGAATCGCTCCATTCCCTAGAGGAAAACGCGCATCTCCTTTTCGAGTTGCTCATGGCGCTGTTCCGCCACTATAAGCGACCGACTGCGGAAATCCAAGGGTTTACCATCCTGCATGAGAACGGCGCCAATTCCGCTTTGGCTGCACTTCCAAAGGTAGAGATGGGTCATAGTAGCCGATTACTGGTGCGCAGCTAATAAGACGCTTAATGGTTGTAAAGGCGGCCTCCTGCTCTTCTTCCTAACTCCAATGTATACCTTTGTGAGTCAGTCTCCGGATAGGCGTCATGCTTTCAGCAATCCTTGGCAAGAACCGGCTCAAATAGTTCATATTGCCATTTAAACGACTAATAGCCTTGACGTTCTTAGGTTTTATCGGGATCGATCTTTATTACCTCGAATGTCGGAACATTTCCATGAAAAATCACTTCCGGTTTCCAGAGCTCAAATTTCTTTCATTTGAGCCTTATGTTCTTCTTTTGCACACAACTCTGCAAAAAGTAGTGCAGATTGGCGTTATTTTCCTGCTCGGTCGAGCCGTAAATCAGCACATCGTCTGCTACACAGGTTACACTATACGTGACGAGAGTGGACAGCCTATCCACAATTTGTCAAAACGTATGGAGCGTTGGGCTGAGAATTTTGAAAAACAATTTAAGCGGCTAGAATTGTTCGATTCTTCGCCGGCCAGTGATCACCCCGCTCCGTGGGCTGTCCCTTTGGATTCAACTTCTCGCTCAGAAGGCGAACGTGAGATCGGACTGTTGAAGTTGAACAAAGCCGCGGGACCAGATGATCTTCCTCCAGCCCTCTTCAAATTCGGAGACTCTGCTCTTGTTGATGCTTTAAATGAATTACTAGTGAAACTGTGGGAGCAGGAGACTGTCCCAACCGACTGGAGCAGCTCCGTTATTGTTTCCATCTTCAAAGGAGGCTCGCTTTCGGCATGCGGAAACCATAGTGGAATCAGTCTGCCCTCCATCGCCTCCAAATTACTCGCCTCCATAATCCGTCACAGACCGACTGGCGCTCGTGAAAGCCACATTCGTGAAGAGCAAACAAGGTTTCGTCAGGGTCGTGGCTGCATCGACCAAATCTTCACCTTGCGTCAGTTGTTGGAGCACCGTCACACATATTGGTGGCCCACCGTAGTCGTGTTTCTGGACATCCAATGTGTCTTCGATTCGGTTGATCGATGTGCCCTTTGGAATTGTCTATTCTGGAAAGGTGTGCCCGAGAAATATGTAAATATTATCCAGGCATTATACACGCGTAGCACGGGCAGAGTGAGGGCTTACGGTAAGCTATCGCCACCCTTCAATATCTCCAGCGGTGTGTGACAAGGATGCTCGCTGTCACCTT